AGAACATCCCAACCACAGTCAGATGGGAAGAGCAGGTGACAAGGGCTTTCTTCCTTCCCTCATTGGAGGGCATGTGGAGCACAGTGAACAGAATTAGTGTGTAGGAGGCAACAATGGCAGAAAGGGGCAGCAAGAGGAAAGTCACACCTGTCACATAAACTAGGAGCTCATATCCGGAGGTATCTGCACAGGCCAACTTCAACAAAGGTGGGATCTCACAGAGCAAATGTCTGATTTCCAAGGACATGCAGAAAGGGAAATGCATTGTATACATGGTGTGTCCTAAAGCACTCAGGGATGCCAGGATCCAGGATGTGGCCACCATGAGCCAGCAGACCCTTGGCCTCATGAAGATCATGTAGTTCAGAGGATGACAAATGGCCACATACCTGTCATAAGCCATGAAGGCCAGTAAGAGGTCCTCTGTACCACCCAGAGTCAATGCCAGGAACATCTGAAGGGCACAGCCTCCAAAGGAGATGCTGTTTTCCCTCCGCAGATAATCCAGGAGGGTTTTGGGAGTGATAACCGATGTGAACAGGAGATCCAGGAGAGAGAGATGCCTGAGCAGGAGGTACATGGGCACATGGAGCCGGATATCCATTGTGATAACCAAGAGCAGAAGTCCATTGCTTGCTATAGCCAGCATGTACAGGATTGTGATCATGGCACAGAGCAATTCAGAAGCCCCACTGTCATTCAGAATCCCCACCAAAATGAAGCTGCTTCCCCAGGTAGAGGAGAAATTCCAGAGCTCCATTCTGCATGGCTCTATTAATTGCTAAGAAGAAGAAGGAATCTCAGAGGAAGTTAGCCTACCTTTGGACCACACCAATATAGTAGATAGAGGTCAATAGAAATTCTATGAAACATCTTTTCCTTCTCTTAGCTAAATTTCCCCCCACTGGATTCTGAATTTCTAAATGCTTTTATTGAATTTTGATATGCCTCCATCTAAATGTAAAATATGCATGTCAGAAGATGCTAATTATTAAGAATTATCTCCAAACAGATATGTGAGAGAATAAGCACAAAGATTTTTGTACATAGATGAAAACATCTCTCTCTTCATAATAAACAAAAACATTGGGAAGTGCTTTAAAGCTAGCTGTTTTTTTTTTCTTTTTTGCTTAAAATCTACTTGGGGATACAATTCTACTTTAAGAATTTTATTCATAAAAACTGTTTGCCATCTTCTCCCCTTGACCTGATGTCTGTCTTTATGTTATGGTCCCACTGTTTTTTGACACCTTCCCCACTAGTAGGATTTCAGGGCTCTTGGGCCACCTGATTCTTATTCACTTGAGCCATCCATTCCTCCTTGATAGGGATACAGTGACTCTGCTTTAGAGAATAACAATTCTGGGCTTAATTGAATGGTCAGAGTGATGCAGATTTTGGAGGTAAATGAGTAGGAACAGTGGAAAAGACATCTACCTATTTGAAGTCAGTGATTATATATTCACTCAGGAGGAGACAAAAAAACAAAATTATAGGATTCACAGATACATAGAAGTTGTTTGTTTTTGTGGGATATCATAAAACTAATGAGTTACTAAAGAGGAAGCCTTGTAGCTAAGGCCCAAAGCTATACTTTTACTTGGGACTCAGAGAAGCACTCTGAGCATAAAAAAAATACCTTCCTCTGCTTCACAAATCTTTGGAGCATATAGAAGGATGCTGGCCTTGCTGAATCTGGAATCCATATGATACTACTAATGGAAGGGACTGGGGAGGAATGTTTTGGAGAGGGGTGATGGTATCCACTCAGCATGCACTTTATGAATGCAGAACTTTCACAGTTAGGTGGAGAATGTAGAAGACACTCTGGAAGAGAAGAGAAAATTTCACTAACAAATTTATCACCTCTCCTTTGTAATATGTGCACTGGTTCCTATCTTTCTTTATGTCAACACCCTTGTTATCTCAGAGTTGAGATCATAGAAACTTGACATCAAGACACCATAAAATCCAGCTCCTTTAATTCACTCATCAGGGGTATTTGCTAAGGACCTTTGATGTATCCAGTACCACACTTGATGCTAGGATAATTGCATAGATGTGAAACTAATCACAAAAACAACTGCCTCATCCATTGGCAATAATCAATATATAAAGGAAAATATGACATACTTCAAAACAAATAAAGGAGGTTTCACAAAAGGATTCCCCAACAAAGTTGGATATAAACTACAGGTTGAGAATGAATAGAAACTGGCAAGGTCAAAAASAGTTAGGGCATAACAAAAAGAGAGCAGATAGTGCTGTAAAAGTCAGGACACTGACGTACAGTACAGTGATGTCCTTCCTGAACTTTTGCCATAAAAAAACGCTAGGCAAGGAGGCCTCCAGAGAAATACTCCTTAAAGTGAAGCCTCACCCTTCATTGTGGTGTATGATATTCCTGCTGCTTCATGAAACCAAAAGTACATGACTATCTGAGGAATGTTGATTGGAATACCACATATGGGGAAAAAATTAAGATGTTCAAGAACAATTCTGGGCACTGTTCCTGGCAATTATGAGAATTGAAATGCTCTTGATTTTGGTGAATAAAATGATGAATGGATAGAGAAATAAAGGGAAAGAAATAATTGAGCACCTTTCTCCAGATCTCTGGGCCAGTATTTGGAGAGTTGTCAAAGAGGAGGAAAAAAAAACCCAGGGTTTTGTTAAGGAGGTGTCACCAGGCCTCCAGCTTCCTACCTACATGCCAGCTCTCTGTGTTGCAGGACTCTTGCTTTCTCTCCTTTTCCATTCACTGGTTTCTCACTTGAGAAAGGCCAGGGAGCACCAACTGGACCAAAAAAGGAAGGACTTTCTCTCTGGAAAATTGCTGGAGGTGTATAGGTACCTAAAACCAAGAGCAGTCAGTCAGCAGAGGCTGAGATGAATAGAGGACCATTGTAGATGGTCAGTCCATTCAGATAATGCTAAAGCTTAGAATCATATTTTTATAAGTTTTTTCTCTGTCATTGATCAGTATATTTAAACATTTTTACTAACGTTAGTTGGATTTCTGTGGCATGTTCAAGAGAAACTTCAGCTGATATTAGGTATTCCTCTTTGAAGGTGCTTTCCTTTGGGGGACCTCATCAGACTACTAGAGTCCAGGAAAATCAGATGCACCAAGGGTAAGTACTGAGAATATTATTGGGAAGCCAGCATCAGGAATTCTAGAGACTCTGTACTGGCCAGTGGCACTAAATGATTGCAAAAGTTCCCACATATTCAAAGTGCCTACAGTCACCTTGTAGAGAAAGGATTGAATGAGCTGTAAGCCTAAGGCACTAGAGAATCTGAACTGCAGAGTATACACCATCTTGATTCTGTTTCTCAAGACTTAGAGGGTCTACTGCCTAGAAACAGAGAGAGAGTCCTTACCTCAATTGGGGAAAAATACCACTGCTAGACGTCAGCAAGGATCCTGGGATTCACTTGTGGATTCTAAAAGGTCAAGACGATGAAGAAAGAGGAGGTGGTTCTTCTGGCAGGGTGGGATATAGGTATGTGTATGATCGTGATTGGGACCAGGACTCTTCTGGTCACTATCATTGACACTCCTTCCTGGGGAAAGAGACAGATGTAAACAGGAAGGTGAGAATCTTGGGCAGGATCCTAGGAAAGGTTGGAACTAAATCGCTCAGAATGGCTCCCCTCTACTCTCCTTGTGAGAAAGTACTTCACAGTCATAGAGTGATTTGGGCTGAATTCTTGAGTCCCTGTACTCATATCTTCATATATTCCTCTCTTGTTGGGATTCATGAAAATGTTAAGCACCATAGGAACTGAGGTAAAAGATGCGGGAGGAGTAACTCAAAGTAGACCCACTAGTGGCTAGCCCCATTCTCCCTGGGGCAATTGTGAGCTCTGGCCTATCCTGGGGGACATATTGCAGTCTCTTCCTCTCAGGTGGCATGCCCTCCCCTGAAAATGCCACTCTAGGAAACTAGATTTTAATGAATCCTCTTGGGCATGTCTCTAGGCCCAACATTTCACTGATTATGGGCTCTGAAGCCTGAGGACTTGTTCTTCCCCAGGAGGTCTTGCTGAGACTGTCCTGACTAAGTAGATGGTAGCCAGAACTGGTCCAAGAAGCAAGTAACCCCTATTCTTTCTTCTGTCCAAATCATTGAGTGTATCTTCTGGCTTCTGGAAGGGCTACCACTCTCCGTCTCCCTCTATGAGGCCCTTGTATGGTCTATTATCAGCTGGAGGGAGTTAACAATACAAACATCAAGTCTTCCTTCACTGACCTTAGCATCCTACAGTGATTTATTGGATCTTCATTGCATTTACTCTGTTTCTCCCCTACCAGGACAGAATGTCATAATCACTACTTCTGTGAACTGCCTGCTCTCCTAAAGCTGTGTCTATGGACATCAACAATATTCAGATAGCTCTATTTTCAGTGGGGGTGATTATCCTCCTAGCTCCTGTCTCCCTCATCCTTATCTCCTACTGGCATATCATCTCCACTGTGATCCAGATGCAGTCTGGGGAGGGGAGGTTCAAGGTCTTCTCCATTTGTGGCTCCCACCTCACCTTTGTGGTTCTCTACTATGGTTCTGGAAAATTTTTCTACATGAGACAAAATTCCAAGATGATGAATGAAAAGGAAAAGGTCATCTTGGTGTTCTATTCAGTCATGACTTCCATGTTGAACCCCATCATTTACAGCCTTAGGAACAAGGATGTAGAAGGGGGCTCTCAGGAAGCTGGATGGAAGATAATATGCTTCAGAGGCAGTGATTTCTGAAATTTTTAAAAACTCAATGCTTTCCTCAAAAGTCTGACTATAGGGCAAACTGGTTAATCACATGCACAAAACTCCTTGCAGAATATTATAAAGCTAGCTAATCCTGTGACAATATCATTCCTGAGCTTTATTTCTTGACATATATTCCTGATTTTAATGTGCCCTCTCTAACCATCTTTGTTTTTGTTCATGATATAGTGTCTCTTGGGTATCTTTTCTGGCCATTAACACTTATTTATGTTGTATATCCTACTAATAAATCAATTTTATTTCAATGGAGACATGTACATAAAATATTTCTGATCCTCAAATAAGCTCTTGCCTTCACTTTTGATCTACAGAGTGTTTTTTTAACTTATCTAAAAACAGTCCCTTTAATTGAGTTTTAAAATGGATATCCCTGCATTTATGATTTCTTGTAAGTGGGTTGCCACATCTTTTGAGGAAAGCATTGAGTTTTGCTTATCTTGTGGGGGTGGGCAAAGTCATTTAATGGATAGATAATCAAATAAGCTGAGAATTGGAGTAATGGAAGGAAAAGATGAGGATATCAAAACCATGTTGTCCATCAAAATGTTCAAATATTTTTAAAAATTTCAGAAATCACTGCCTCTGAAGCATATTATGACATTCTGTCCTGGTAGGGGAGAAACAGAGTAAATGCACTGTCCACTGAACATAAAACTGCCCACTTATTCAGTACACTCTGGCCAACTGGACACAAACCCTCTGGATCATGATGGTGCAGTAGTGCAGGGGCTTGCAGATAGCCACGTACTGGTCATAGGACATCACTGCCAGTAGTGCACACTCTGCACATCCTGCAAGGAGGAAGACATCTATCTGTATTAAACATCCAGCAAAGGAATTTTTTTTCTCAAGGAGGTAGACCAACATCAGGATATAATGCTCATAGAGAAACAGAGGTCAGCAAAGGATAAGTTTTTGAGAAAAAAGTGCATGAGCATATGAAGTTGAGAGTCAACTTGGATGAGGAGTAT